TGGCATTAAGAAATAAAATTGCTGGTCTTCCACACCAGTGTGAGAAGGACCACTTTAGAGGACCTTCATTAGCTCTTTCTCCTTTGCACTGGTCCAGCCAGGAGTTCAGTATTCCCCCCAGGATCCCAGGAAGGTCCAAGGGGATCAAGTTGAGTGTCTAATTTGTTATTTCCGATTCCTACGTTATTGAAGGTGTTTTTAATCTATTTTAAGGTTGTATTTTTAATTGGTCTTTAGTTTAATTCTGTTTTAAGGGGATGGGAGGGTGGGATTTTGGGATGAGGGAATGCTTTTAATTCTGTTCTGTTTTTAAAAATTACTGTACCGCACCCCGATTGCCGCGCAGAGGGGTGGGCTATAAATAAATATTATTATTATTATTATTATTATTATTATTATTATCAAGGAGACACAACTTTTGTCACCCCAAAACCTATCTTTTAGGGAATATTTTCCCTTCACATTACAGCTGCCCCCTCTTTCTCTGGTGTGTGTGTGGATCAGGGAAATATTATATTGACCTTACTTTTTGAACCCTTCTTTCTGTCTTCTCTGAACATTGGCAATAACCTTTGAGAACTCCTGGAGAACAAGAGAAGTCTCAGAAAACTGGAGGAGGGCATACATTGTCTCCATGTTCAAAAAGGGAAAAAAGAGGATCCCAACAATTATCATCCAGTTAGTCTGACATCAATACCAGGAAAGAATCTAGAGCAGATCATTAAACAGAGAGTCTGTGCACATTTAGAAGAGAATGTCATAATCACAAAAAGTCAACATGAGTTTCAGAGAAACAAGTCATACCAGACAAATCTGATCTCTTTTTTTGATAGAATTACCAGCTTGTTAAATGAAGGGAATGCTGTAGATATAGCATACCTTGATTTCAGTAAGGCCTTTGACAAGGTTCCCCATGATATTCTTGCAAACAAGCTTGTAAAATATGGACTAGACAAGGTAACTGTTACATGGATTAGTAATTGGTTGACCGGCTGAACCCAAAGGGTGCTCAACCATGGCTCCTTTTCATTCTGGAGAAGTGACCAGTGGGGTGCCACAGGGCTTTGCCCTGGGCCCAGTGCTATACAACATCGTTATCAATGACTTGGATGAAAAGAATAGGGGGCATACTTATCAAATTTTCAGATGACATCAAATTTGGAGGAATAGCTAATACCCCAGAGGACAGGATGAAAATTCAAAATGACCTTAATAGATTAGATAGCTGGGCCAAAGTTAACAAAATGAATTTCAACACCGAGAAATGTAAGGTACTGCACTTAGGGTGGAAAAATGAA